TGTTTTAAATTTGTTATTGGTAGAATTAGGATGGCAGTCTTTACCTACCTTATTAAGGAAGCAGATAATTATAGTTTTAAAGGTGTCTTTTTCTCCGTAAAGCAAATGTACTTGCCAAGCATGTTACATGTTATATGCTTAGAGTGATATTTGCATCAGTTGGAGATAAGTGCTTTTTTGGGAGGCAGGGGAATTTTCAGGCTGCTTTCTAAAAAAGACAAGTCTTGGGTTTTATTTCAAAAAAGAGCATGTCTGCTGGCTGACCAATCATCTCATATATATCCCCAATATTTCTCAAGCGAAGGGACAAGATGCCTTTTTCACTACACAGAGACCCCTAGACTGCCATTTTGTATCTTTTCCCCCTGTAGACCTGCTCTTGATATTAAAAAAACCTAATCTTATCTCTCTAAAGATGTGAGGGGAAAGGGAAGAGGGGAGACATATAGTGTGATGTTCCCTAGTCCTGAGTCCCTAAAAATGGTACTGGAGGGGAAGCATGACATATATAACCAAACATGGGAGATACTCTACCAAGATTAATCATTATGCAGGATGCAACTGGATGTACCTAAAAAACAGCAAAACATATGTCACAAAGCCAGAGGAAAATAAAACAGTGCCAGTAAGTGGAGCATCCTCGGCAAAACGAGTTAGCAGAACATGAAATAGCAATGAGAAGATGAAGAGCCAGCCACAGGTTTGGTGGATGGAAATGGTTTACTCTTCAGAGAACATTATCAAAATAAAGAAGGAAATTTCCTAAAAGAGGGCACATTTTGGATAATTGCAACAGGCCTTGATTTGGCTTGTGATAGTAAGTGATCAAAATGCCCGAGACTAAATTAAGAAGTGTTTTTTTCGGGACACCTGGGTGGCTCAGTCGGTTAAGTGTCTGCCTTCAGCTCAGGTCGTGATCTCAGGGTCCTGGGATCAAGTCCCGCATCAGGCTCTTTGCTCAGTGTGGAAGCCTCCCCCTGCTCATGCTCTCTCTCTCTTTGATAAATAAATAAAATCTTAAAAAAAAAAAGTGTTTTTTTCCTACTCAGACCCTACTCATTGAATAATTTTTAAAATTCAGTCAGCAGGGACAATTTCTCACTTTCAAACCCTACACTATTTAAGTGCTAGCAATGAGAAAAGAAAATTAGCACCACTTTTAAAGTCTGTTTTTCAGAGAAAGACAAATACTATATGATCTGACTTATATGTGGAATCTACAAAAACGAAAACAAAAAACCCCAACAAAACAAAGTCAAGCCAAGCATGTGAATACAGAGAACAGATGGGTGGTTCACAGAGGTGGGAGGTGAGGGTGTGTAAAATGGGAAAAGGGAGTCAAAAGGTACAAACTTCCAGTTATGAAATAGATAAGCCATGGGCATGTAATGTATAGCATGGTGACTATATGGTATATTTGAAAGCTGCTAAGAGTAAATCTTAGAAGTTCTCATCACAGGAAAAATCTGTAACTATGTATGGTGATGGATGTTAACTAGACTTTTTGTGATGATCATTTCACAATATATACAAATTTAGGATCATTATGTTGTGCACCTGAAACTAATATAATGTTGCATGTCAGTTGTACCCCAATAAAAAGGTCATTTTTTCTTTCTCTTACAGATGGTGTATTTACAGATATAAAAGTTGTCTACCCATATTATTTGCATTAGTTAGTTATACTGTACAATATAAGACTAAAGGTTTCACTTCACTAGATAGTACATACGTATAAATATCTCAAAACTGATCAAAAACAGTGCCGTTTTCATGATCTAGAAGATAAGGGCAATGTTTCTGATTATATTTGAGAAAGTATCTAGTACTGCTATTTCACAATATAAAGCTCACATCTAGGGTATTTTGGGTGGGGGGCGGGAATCACATCAACTTGGGTTAACAGATACACAAAGGAAAGAAAAATAATTCCCCTTAAGGTTTGGGTTTGGTACTAGGATATTAGTGGGTTTCTAAAGTTAAAAGCATTTAAAAATGTTGGCTCCTCTAACCTTTTTACCCTGAGACTACGTTTACATGTGTTGTGTAAGAGCCACCAAGTACCCCTTTTTGATTATATAAGTGCTTGGGACTAAGTTAGATACAATGGCAATTTCTGTGTGGCCCAGGCAGGCATGGGGGCACGGACGGAGGCAAGCTCACGGTTGCTGGTGAGGCAGTGTGGAGGTAGGAGGGTGGGAGACAGGCAGGCATAGAAAGAATATAAAATTGTATTCTTTACATGGGAACACCCTGCCAAACAGAACAGCGGTAGAGTGAATGGAGAAATCAGTGTACATGCTGGTGAAGACTGAATCCAAAGAGAGGAAATCTCTGTGTTTTCCCCTTTGCATCAGTTGTTGGCTCTGGTTCTGTTCTTTTCAGTCAACTCCTGCTCTCGCCCTCCATTCCTCTTTCTCTCACCTTCCTATTATTTAAAGTAACTGTAGACAAGCTGTGCGCGTCCAAGTTGTGAGGAAAGGGCCAATGGCCTTTTAGACTGTTTTCATGACAACATTCATACCCCCCTTTAGGAAACGTTCAGACTTGTTAAAGAGAAGCTTAGACCCAGAATGTTTGTTGGCGCTGCTTAGTTCTGTTGAATAAAGAGGCATCCTCGGTTTCTTTCTACAATGCAGTACTCTATCGCTCTGGATATTCAGTGTTATCCATGGACCAGCAGCATCAGCATCAGGGAGCTTGCTAGACGTGCAGACTCTTGGGCTTTTCCCTGACTGACTGGATTAGAATCTCATTTAGTAAGATCCACCAGGTGCTTTATATGAGAAGTTGAAAATCGCCGATTTATCCCTTCTTGAAAACAGAATCAGCTCAGAGTAATGTCCACCAGACAACAGAAACTTTGAGATACACGTTTGTATGTTGCTATGGTGAGAAATATGTAATTGAGAAGTTTACCCACCTTGAACAGCTGTCCTATGAAAGGGGATACAGTTAGGTTCTGAGATAAATCAACTCTCTATTATGGACCACATGAGTCCTGTAAGTTACTTCTAACACTTGGTGCCACAGAAAATGTAGCTGATAACCACTAATATTATTAGAACTTAAATAATAGTATAAATTTGTGTGAACTCAAGGCAAGACTTGACTGAAAAGTGGCAACATTAGGGAAAAAATCTGTCAGGATTTGGAGTCTGCCAGACCTAGTTTGAAATCAGTCTGTGTTGGGGGCGCCTGGGTGGTTCAGTTGGTTAAGCGACTGCCTTTGGCTCAGGTCATGATCCTGGAGTCCCTGGTTCGAGTCCCTGGTTCGAGTCCCACATCAGGCTCCCTGCTCGGCAGGGAGTCTGCTTCTCCCTCTGACCCTCCCCCCTCTCATGTGCTCTCTCTCATTCTCTCTCTCTCAAATAAATAAATAAAATCTTAAAAAAAAAAAAAAGAAATCAGTCTGTGTTATGTATCTATTTTGGTGACCTGAGACAAATTACTTCATCCTCCCTTCCTTCAGTTTCCTCATCTTAAAGCGGGAATAGGTATAATAGCTACTTCAAAAGTCTGATTAAGGGGCACCTGGGTGGCTTAGCTGGTTAAGCGGTGTTAGTAGGTGCTATCTTATTATTTTTAAAAAGTTCTTTTCTTTAAGCCTGTTCTTAATTTTGCTACATTTGAGATCTTAGAAAAATTTAGTCTTTTACTATAGGATGTTTTCTTGATTTTATTGAAGATAAATGTATACATATAAGAAAATAAGTAGTAATTACATTTAATATTAATAAATATTTTCACAGTGTTTTTACTGAGATAATTTACATAGCATAAATTAGAAAATTGAATCTATGGAGAAAATATTATTTTGGAGGATGTAAGCTAGTTAACATTTTACTTCAATAGTAATTAAAGGCCTAACAAGTAATTCTTTTTTTAAAGACCTTTATTGAAATATACTTTATATGCAACTCAGTGGGGTTTGTTTAAAGATTTTATTCATTTATTTTAGAAAGAGACGGAGAGGGGCACCTGGGTGGCTCAGTTGGTTAAGTGTCTGCCTTTGGCTCAGGTCATGATCCCAGAGTCCTGGGATTGAGCCCCGCATCAGGCTCCCTGCTGGGGAGGGAGTCAGCTCTCCCTCTGACCCTCCCCCCTCTTGTGCTCTCTCTCTCAAATAAATAAAATCTTAAAAAAAAAGATAGAAAGAGACGGAGAGTGCAAGAGCAGGGGGAAGAGCAGAGGGAGAGGGAGAGGGAGAGAGAGATCATCTCCAGCAGTTTCCATGCTGAGTGCAGAGGCTGACGTAGGGCTCGATCCCAGGACCCCTCAATCATGACCTGAGCAGAAACCAAGAGTTGGACACTTAACTGACTGAGCCACCCAGGTGCCCCAACTCAGTGGGTTTTAAGTAGACTTCAAGAACTGTGCAGTTATCACAATAATACAATTTTGCATGACCCCTCCAAAATCTGTTATGTCCATTTGCAGTCAATCTCCATTCTTAACCCCAGCTCCAGGAAACCACTAATGTCTCTATTATTATATATTTGCCTTTTCTGGACATTCCATATAAATGGAATCATACAATACTTGGTCTTTTGCATCTGGCGTATTTGATTTGGCATAGTATGTCTGAGATTCCTCTTTGATGCAGCATATATCAGTACTTCGTTCCTTTTTATTGCCAAATAGTAGTCCATTATGTGCACGCACCACATTTTGTTTATCTATTTTCAGATAAAAGACATTTGGATTGTTTCCACTCTGGGGCTCTTAGGATAATGCTGCTATGCATGTTCATGTACATGTTTTTGTGTAGGAAAAAAAAGAAATTCATTCTTAGAGTAATGTCTTTGAAGTGTTATTAAGGTTTATTTAATAATTATGTATTCTTATACTAAGTCAAATGCTGAAATATCTAGGTGAAATAGGAGGGTAATGATGTGCAATGAAAATGAAAAATGTCATCCAAAACTGAATTATATATAAATGGTTAACTTTAGAAAAAATACTATAAAAATAACATGTACGTATAACTTTATTTTCAGGTGCTCCAGTATTATTTCAAGGATTACAGCCTGAAGAAGAACTACAGCTGTGGAGTGAGGTAAAGCATTGCCCTTATACAAATTAGTGGAAACTTTACCTTCTTTGAAATTATCAAATGAAATAAGATAATTGAGTTTCGGGACAACTATGATTTTACTAACATTCTGATATCATAATATTCAGAATTATTATTCTTTTGAAACAAAAGGAGAGACAAAAAGAAACAAAACAATTATAGCAAATGGTAAAGTAAGATGGCAGAAATAAGCCCTAATAATAGAGTAATTACAAAAAGTATGGAAAAGGACATAGCAAGCAAATATGGCTGTAAGAAAATTGGAGTAGCAGTCTCAATATCTGATAAAATAGAATTCAAATAAACAAACCATCTTAGCAAAGAGGGACCTTATTTTATGCTTTTATTAAATTATGCTAAGTATCTCAGTATGCTCAGATCTTAAATTATGCTCAGTGTCTTATGCTGATAAAAGAATAGCAGGGTAAATGATACAGCCATTATTAGTATGTATTTTTAAAAACTCAAAATTACTTAAAACTGATAGAACTTCAGGGAACATTTGTAGTTAGAGATTTTAATACACTGCTCTCAAAACTGATAGTTAAAACAAATAACATCAGTAGATATAGCAAAGATTTAACCACACAATAAGTTTGGTCTATTAGAAATATTTTTTAAAATCTACACTAAATAGTATACACATTCTTTTTTGAGTATAATTGGAACATTAAACAAAAATAGACCGTGTGTTAGGACACAAAGAAAATTTCAGTAAGTTAAAAAGGAAGCATTTTAAATGTTTTCCGATCATAATGCAATAAAATGAGAAATTAACAACAAAAGTATAACTTCAATATCCCATCTGTTTGGAAAATAAGTAATATTTTGGTAAATAATCCCAGGCTAAAGAGGAAATTACAGAATAGTTAGAATTAAATTACATAAAAACATTATAAATCAAAATTTGGGGGGCCTGGCTGGCTCAGTCAGTAGAGCATGCAACTCTTGATCTCAGGGTCGTGAGTTCAAGCCTCATGTGGGGTGTTGGTGGACTAGAAGTGCCTGAGAGTAAATGCTCCCAACACTGAAAATAACCCTCAGTTGGTGACCCAAGGGAATCGGTGGGTAAATACCTCAGCTGCTTCGTCCCTCAGTTGGGATAACAGATGTATTCTGCATTGGCTCCTAGAATTCCCCAGACAGATTGATCCCAGTTACTCATGGTGGTAATCTGCTTGATAACATACACTTTATGGGATTCCTTCTCTTCCCTGTTTGTCTTCTTCACTATTCTGCCAGTGCTTCTTGGATCATCTCCCTAATAATCTACTCATATCCACATCACTATCTCAAGGTCTGTTTCTGGGAGAACCCAAACTAAGGCAGAAATGCACAACTTACAATAAAAGTAACATTAAAAATCAGAGGGAAAAGCAGAGATTGTTTGGCAAGTGAAGGTTGAGAAACTGGCTCGCTGTATGGAGAAAAATAAAGCTAACACTCCACTGATGATTTTGTAATGTATGTAAATATCAAATCACTATGTTGTGCACCTGAAACTAATATATGCCAATTATTCTTCAATAAAAAAACTAACAAGTGGGCTCCAAGTTGATTAAAGATCTAAATATAAAGGGTAAATTATAGAGTTAATAGAATATATCTTTTCTATTAGGAAAATATCTTTGTGAGCTAGGAGCAGGGAATGACTTCTTAAACAAAATTTCAAATAGAAATCATAAGGCCAAAAAGATGATGGATTGAATTACATTAAAAGTAAAGATTTCTTTCAAAAGGATTACATTTAAAAAGTAAGAGCCTTTGAAAGTTGTTGGTTGTGTCTAAAACTGACAAAGGAATAATTTCTAGAATCTCTAAGATATTCCATCAAACCAAATGGATAAAGATAGGGATCCAAGGCAAAAGTAGACAAAAAGAACAGATAATTTACAAAGAAGAAACCTAAAGGCCAACAAGCATCTAACAAGATGTTCAGATTTATTAGTAATAATGAAATGAAAATTAAGACAACAACGAAGTGTTACTCTCTACCCATTAGACTGGCAAAAAAATGGAGTCTAGATAATGGCAAGTGTTAGCAAGGATGTGGGATGTACAAACCTCACTCATTGCTGGTGAGAGTGTCAACTGGTGGAGCTACCTGGAAAGCAACCTGGATATCCTCTTGATCTAGCATTCCATCTCCTGGGCATGTAGCTCAAAGGTGTCCTCCTATAGATCCATAAGTGGAGGATAGATACAAGGAGGTTGATTACAGCTTTGCTTTTAATGGAATTGGAGGAAACCCAGCTGTCTATCACTGGGGAATGGGTAGGCAACAGACATAGAGTAGGTGCACATTTTAGAGTATTCTATAGCAGTTAGAAGCAGCATACTAGATGTCCCCAGTAACATGGATAGATCTCAAAGTATAGTGTTAAGTGAAAAAGGTAAGAAAGTACCATACATGCACACCAAATAGCAATACAAATTTTACAAGAACCTAAATGGAGACTACTCATCAAATAAATTAGAAGAGTTGCCCGTGGGAGGATGAACTAGGAGTAGGAAATTGAAATATAAAAGAATAAATAAATAAAGCCATTTCAGTGATGATCATGAACTAGGAGCTGAGGAGAATATTCTGTGTACCTAAGCCACCTCTAACAAAATACATAAAGGAAGAGATAAGATGGATAGTAAGTGCCAAGCACTACACAATCTCTAATGGCATAGAAATTCATAAAGTCTGTTATAAGGTTCTCTGCCTTGGTATAGCAAAATACATGCTAGAGGTATATAAACAAGAAGAATAATTTAGACAACAGACATTAATGTATAATTCAGAAACATTTATTTTAGCTTGAAATTATCTATATTTCTGTAGAAAATCTTTGAAGAAATATTTTAGATGATAAAGCTGGGAAAAAACTATTGTTGTAAAACACTATCAATTCTTTTACAGAAAAAGATACTTAAAGAAATTAAGACGCTAGGGGCGCCTGGATGGCTCAGTCATTAACGGCTGCCTTTGGCTCAGGTCATGATCCCAGGGTCCTGGGATCGAGCCCTGCATCAGGCTCCTTGCTCAGCGGGAAGCCTGCTTCTCCCTCTCCCACTCCCCCTGCTTGTGTTCCCTCTCGCTGTCTCTCTCTGTCAAATAAATCAATAAAATCTAAAAAAAAAAAAAAGAAGAAGAAGAAGAAATTAAGATGCTAAAACATGTACTTTTCTGCTGGAGGTTTTAAAAATGACTGAGCTATTCAGACACTAGAAACACATCCTTTTCAGACCTTATACAGAAACCTAACCGTTTTCAAACAGATTCATCAACGGGCTCTCCAGAGTTCTCAGAAGCAATTAGGGGCACTTAAAACCATTAGGGCTACCAGCTGAGTAAAATGAACAAATGCTTATCCAAATGGAAAGTGGGTGAGCAGTGTTGCTGTGCCTTTTAAAGAAAAGAGAACAAAGACTGAAGAGCTTTGCAATTATCTCCTAATTTGATTAATTGGTGTTTTTTCTTATTCTGATATTTCTGATATCTTCAAACAATATTGATGCACTGATTAGTTAGCCCTTAGATTCAAGGGTTCGCTGTTCTTGGACGAGGCCACCTCACCTCGGCCGGCAGCCTGGTCTGCAGGTGGACAGCTTTGCCTTTGATCATGTGGTATCTTCAGATACCTAAGGACCACAAAAACCTTAACGCGAGGAACCAGTTTCCTCCAACCCTACTGATGCAAACTAAGTAACACTTAGGGGTGATATATTAAAACATTGGTCACAATTCAAAGCTTTAGAAAGGTATCTTTTTGCCTTTCCCCTCTCAATTGACTTCTCTTTTTATTTTTCCACAAATTCAATGCAATTTAATTTAAAGAATATTTATTGAGCACTGATTCTGGGCAAGTCAGATATGGCATAGCTCCTGCCCTGTGTGCATATATATGTGTGTGCATGCGTATGTGTGGGTGTCTTTGTAGTCGTGATTCTGGATTTGTACGGCATGGAAGAGGGGCAGGTGGGTGGGCACAAGGGATAAGAGGAATTAAAAAAAAATTCCCTAACTATTTGTGACCTATGGAGAATATGACAGGCTCTGTGAGGATAAAAAGGAAAGAGACATTAAGCCTTTGGTCTTGGATAATATTGTATACCTTCGTTATTCTCTAAATTGGAGAATCGTATGTTATAGTACATGTTCATCTTGGAATCAATAAGGAGCATGAGGAATTATGACCAAAGAGTATGATTATCCCCTCTTCAGTAAAGGGTAAGAATGGAAACTAAATCAAACTAATCAACAAAGAATAAACAGAACTCAACTTAAATCACCCCAGACAGACAAGAAATCAGGACTATTTCTCCCAGTCCCATTTTAAAAGGCCACCAAAGAAATAAATGCCATAAACTACTCCAGACATCCAGCTTTAGTGCTTAACTTCGCAGCACAGTTTTTTAATGATTAATGTAAAATCTCTTATACTACAGTTCAAAGTCTTTCAGTTTTTCTCTTTAGGATAAAGGCTGAAAACTGCTGTCAACTGTAGTTCAATAAACCTTTATTTTTTTTTAATCTGTAAAGATTTCTTTATTTCAACCACAAGAGCTAATATTCCCTACTTCTAACTATTGCCGTTAACAAAAATACAACAGTATTTTGTTGTACTGCCACCTCCTTTTTCATAAAGATCATTTGATATCACATTTTATTTATAAAATTCAAAATGTTCCTTAGTACTACAAAACACAGGCGAGTCCCTGAACATCTATTTCATGGTAACGTACATCCATGTTATAAGTAAGCCACAAACAATATCTCCATTTAGATTTTCATCATGTATTGTATATTAAATTGTCGTTAATCTTCAAAGGGAAATTAGATATGCACGAGTCCCACTGAATGAAGAAGCTGCATCACATTATCTTTGCTGCGCCCACAATCATCCACATGATTTCACACACCCACTAGGAATACAGGTATTTCATGAAGTGATTGGAGAGTAGACACACATTAAAATTTGCCAGTTATAAATGCCAAATAGGGTCAGTATAAAAAAGCATGTTGTAATTAATTATACCTGTCCAAAAATCCATCCCCTTTATCTTTTGAAGCATACTAGCAAATACATTATGTAAGCATTTAACTCATATTCCCTATAATAAATACTCTGACTTGAAGTAATGTCTGAAGAGAGTGACTGACTGACTTCTACTGTCAATTTTGACATTTATTGACATTTGATGTTCCACGAAATACTTTTCTCAATTTTTCTATCTGTAAAGTTATTTTCCTTTATGCACTCCCTGGTGTTTTCTGAGGGGTATTTTTTAAAACAAAGGTCTTTCCTCTTTCATTACATTTCTAGAGCTTGAATCTAGTGTGACTTTGGGGATACTGAGTAATGACTGAATTCCAGTTAAAGGCTTTGCCACTTTCTTTACATGTTATGTTTCTCTCCTGTATAAGACCTATGATGGTGAGTCAGTTGTGAGTTCCAGTGAGAGGCTTGCCACATTCTTTCTATTGGTAAGGTTTCTCCTCAGTATGAACTCTGTGTTGGTGAAGAAGGGTTGAGAAGTCCTTAAAGATTTTACCACATTCTTTACATTAATAAGGCTTCTCTCTAGTATGAATTCCACGATATTGAATAAGGCTTCGCCACTGATTAAAGGGCTTCCAAATTCTTTATATTTGTAAAATTTCTCTCCAGTATAAGTTCTCTGATAACAAGTCAAGGATTAGCATTGTTTAAAGGCTTGCCACATTCTTTAACTGGCACTCATGCCTTACTCAACAGCAAAGAATTCAGAAATCTATAAACTTGATAAATGTGGGATGATGCTTAACCATCCATCGGTGCTCAATAAGTATCAGAGTATCAATCATTGGGAAGAACTTTACCTGTGTAGTAAAATTAGAAAGGCCTTTACAGAGGAATCAAACATAAAAAAATACCAGAGCCCGGAGGGGAAGGGAAGGAAAAGTAAAATAAGATGAAATCAGAGAGAGAGATAAACCATAAGAGACTCTTAACCATAGGAAACAAACTGAAGGTTGCTAGAGGGGAGGGTTTAGGGGGATGAGGTAAGGGGGTGATGGGCATTAAGGAGGGCACTTGAAGTAGTGAGCACTGGGTATTGTATGCAACTGATGAATCACTGAATTGCACCTCTGAAACTAATAATATAGTATATGTTAATTGACTTTAAATAAAAAATTTTAAAACAACTACCAGAGCCTTTATAATGGAGAGAGAATAGATCAATGCAGTGAATCTGAAAAAGAGTTTAAGCAAGGCTCAAATGCTATTAAACATCTGAGGACTCACTTTCCAGAGAACCATTATAAATGTAATAAATGTGTGAAGGTCTTTTCTGAAAGCTCAGATCTTATTATACATAAGAGTATCTATATTGGAGAGAATCCTTATAAATGTAATGAATGTGGGGAAAACTTTTAACCAGTCCTCCAATCTCGCTGAACATCAGAGAATTCGTGTTGGAAAAACCCGTAGAGATGTAATAAATCTGGGAAAATCTTTAGTCAGTGGTCATGTCTAAATAGACGGAAGACAACCTGAACTGGAAAGAAAACTTACAGATGTGAAGAGTGTGGCAAAACCTTTACTGATTCCCCAGTAAACCTTCACTGAACTAGAACCCTTTCCTAATGCTGGCTCCTTGCTAGAGAACTGGTAGACTGCAGTTGTGTAGAGTTTTTTCTGTATGCTGTTTATCATTTAGAACTTATGCTATTATCATGTTAATTTAGATGATGTGATCAGATTTATGTAATAAAGAACCACATGATAACAGTGCCCCTTAATTTTGAGGCTATTCTTTCTATTCTAAGATGTAACTGGCATTTTTATTTTCTACAGATAGATGACGCTTGTTCGGCCTTGCTGTCCCTTGATTCTCAGCCTCAGGTAATTCCAGTTGGAGGTGTTTTGTAGTAACATAAGTAGGTGTCACTCCATTTCTCCCTCCGGACCTGTCATGACGTTATCGACTCATTAAAACATGTGAACACATTAGAAATTATTACATTACTGGCAGGTAATAATCAGTGCTGTGAGTTTATGTTGTAAGGTCGTGCTGGGGCCTTTCTCTCTAAGGGAAATAGGTTTGCAGATAATATGCACATATTTTGGAAATGAAAATGCTAATTTCAGAATCAAGTTCTGTGTTAGATTAAAAATAATGTATCTGTTGTTGCATTTGGAGGCTAATATCCTCTCCCTCGACTGAGTTTGAAACCCATAGAGAAACATGGAGTCAGACTTACGGAGATCCAAGTATCACTGTAACTGAAAAGTCAATTTATGAATGTGGCCTTCGATCGGATACCAAGTGTGTTTGCTAAAACTACTCCCAGAATTTAACGGGGGCTTAGAGGGGGGCTTACAGGGTGATTCGAGGCCTCCCAGCCTGTCAGGTTTTCCGGCCCAGGGCAGAGACCCAACAAGAACAGCCAGCCAGCGGGCTGGCTCCCTAGGAGGAAAGGGCTGAACGGAGCCTGCCCGGTTGCCTCCTCCCGGTCATCGGTCAGGGGACTCCCTCCTCTTCCCCCAGGGAAGAGTTCGGAGAGGGTTGAGAAGTGAGGAGTGTTCGTCTAGCTCCTGTATGTGGAAGCGTGAGGCGTTGACGGTAAGCGGGCCCTCGGGATGCCATCTCTGCGGCTCTACTTCCTGGTGTGGGTGGCGCAGAGTCAGCGTCCGGGGGCTGCCTTTCTTCATCCGAAGCACAAGTTTCCTGGACCGAGAGGAGGGCTCAGCAGAGGCTCTCCGCTCAGCCTCTTTCCGAGCAGTCAGCGGTGTGCCTGGGGCGTAAGCCCTACGTGGTCTGGCTGAGGGGCCACGCCACGGTCACGTGGCCCTCCCCACGCCACGGTCACGTGGCCCTCCCCGAGCGCCGTCCCGGCCCCTGGGGAGAAGCAGCTTGCAATGAGGAGAAGCGCTACCTTCCTCCTGCCTCAACCCACGCCCATCTGCAGGCGAGCACGCGCAGCAGCTCGTGGCGTTGGATGGCAAAGCAAGACCGGGATCACAACGGATGACATTTCTGAACGATGTTTCAAGTCGCTGGAGGAGCACTGATGGCTATAGAACATAGGATGGATGTTAATCGGCATATAAGCTTCTGCATTGTATTTAAAATTCAGGAACACCCTCAGAATCATTTTATGTCTTCAGTACTAAAAGGATGAATTTAAAACGCTCATCTAGACACCATGAAGCCAGACGAAGCTTTTACCGAATTTGGAGACTGTGCACCTTTTGAGGAGAGCTCTGGTAAATTTACTATGGAACCGTTTACATTTACTGATACAACTTTTAAAAATCATTACTTTTCGCATTAACTATGATTTTATTATTTATGTGATTATGCGAACATTCACATACAGAGCATTCACATTCAAAACATTTTTACCGAATAGGGAAGAAAGGATCTTTAAGGTCCACAAATTTAAAAAAATATATTAAAACCTTAGTGTAAGAAAAATCCTTAAAGAAAAGTTAGTTGTAGCGCAGAGAATAATGGCTGCATGAGAAGAATAGCTGGAGAAAATGCAACATGTTTTGAAACTTTTTCCATCAAACTTCAGTCTTGTTGCCAAGCCTTGTCTGGCTTCAAAGCTGTGTTCTCAGGAAACACTAAATTTATTCTTCTGTGTGTTAAGAGACGCATGACATCACTAGATACTTTCTTTTTATTGTTTTGTGTTTTACAGCATTTCTAGATGGGCCGTAAAAGGAGGTTTCAGGAATGTTTCCAGATTTTTATGGGGTGACTTATGTACCCAGTCCTGAAGAGAAAAAGTGGGAAGGAGTGTATCAGTGTTACTCTTTCTCTCATCCAATTCCCTGGCCATAGGCTTAACAGTCAATGCCAAGGAAATACAGGGATGTCGATGGCCAAGCTCCCATGTCTACACTGGACCAACTATTGGCCACTTCCTTCACACACGGGAACAACCCTTCCTGTCCTGTATATCTCACAGCTGTGTTTTAAGGACAGAATGCGAATTAGGTATATGAAAGTATTTTGCAATTTATTGAAGCACTACATAAATAGGAGCCAAATCATATTATTCCTAAATATCACCACAATGTGCATGGCAGGCAAACAAATGGAAGAGAACAAAGCAGACCTCTGATGCGCTGGGGAGGATGCTCAGAGAAGCTGGTTCAGGACTCCATCTGGATCCCTAGCTATAAGCCACCCTGTCTACATGCACTGTTGTTGCAAGGGCGAGACCCTCGGCGGCCCCGAACAATCCTTTATGGCATGTCTTCGAAATTAAGAGTAACTGCAGCTGTAAATCCAGCTTTACAGACCACACATTCTTTATTGCTATTATTGTTAACTGCCATGTACCTGGCACTGTGCTAAGAGCTCTACCTACACTTAATCCTTCCAAGAACCCTCCGAAGTGATGTTGTCAACCCCGCCTTGCAGCTGAAGACACTGAAGTTTAGAGAGGTTAGGTAACCAGCCCAGGGTGTCACAGCTGAAGAGCAGAACTGGGACTTGCACTGCTTTAGAGTTGGCTCCTCAGCTCCATAACCCATGTTTTTAACTACGAATTATATGGCTCCCCACCCCCCAGCCCTGTTCCAGCTCCTCGGTACTTCTATGCATTTATTCAGTAATCAATTGTTCATGGTGCTAGTGTGCTGAATTCTGTGCAAAGCAGGTTTCGCCCCTGCTTGTCCATTTGTGTTACTCCTCACCACACCCAGCTGGCTCCTAACCACAGGGAGCCCTGCCCTACTTCTGTGCTCAGATGCTTTGAAAAACCTGATCCTGGGGTGTGCAGTCAGCAGCCTGGAAGGGTGGTAACTCACATTAGGTGCACGGTGTGCGGCTTCTTCCCCTCCAACTCCCATTGTTTGCGAGCCATCGCAGGATTTTCAAATTAGCCAATAATGAGTAATATTCAGTGAGGCTCACAGCTTTGGCATGTGGATTCAGACTCTGCTACAAGCCGGGAAGAATAATCCCTCTTTTGGCCCTGTTCTAGTTTCTCTCAGTCATAGAATTTCATGGACACTTAGCTAGTACTGAGAACTATGTATCTGGACCACAGTGGAAGCCTTGATCCACGCATATGTCCCGCATACAACATTCCCCCCCCCCTCCCCCGGTTGCAAGGAAGGTTTTACTTTTAGGAGCCAAGTTTTTGTCATGAGAGAAACCAAGGGATTCCTACAGAGTTTTAATGGGACACAAGAAGGATTCTATTCTGAGTTTTTGGAATATCCTTGCGCTCCTAACATTCGACAGTTCTATCTTCTACATGTTGTGAAAGCAAAAGCTTGGCTATATATCTTCTCGTTTTCATTAGGCATCCAATGCATTGGAGGAGCTTTGCATTACAATTATGGGGACTCTGCCAAAACCCCAGGTAAGGCTGAAATAGTATTTTATTTGTAGGGGAAAAAATTGCTCAGTGATACCATGGAATTCCTTCTGGAAGAAAATATACCCAATTTAGGAAGCATTTCATGAAGAGCTAAAAGAGCCTAAGTTGATTTTGGATAAGAAACAAATACTTCAGCTTCTCAGATGTTTGAGAATTTCGCGTCAATAATAATGGAGTTTACGATCATCTAATTAGAAAATCATATGCTCCCCTCATAAGACATATTCTAGTTCTGGTGAGAGAAATTTGGGATCATTTTGGCTCTTTTTGTCTTCCTAATTTATACTACAATTGGAGAACTGATGTGTCGCAGCTTAGAGGTTAAAACATTGTACTTTATTAGAGAGAATATGAAAAAAGCAAACTTATTGTCAACATCAGTTTGAAAATTATATTCTTACTGGGGCTCCTGGGTGGCTCAGTCGGTTAAGCGTTGGACTCTTGATTTCAGCTCAGGTCATGATCTCAGGGTTGTGAGATTGAGCCCTGCATTGGGCTCCTGGGGCTCCTTGCTGGGCATGGAGCCTGCTTAAAATTCTCTCTCCCTCTGTCCCTCCTGCCCCCTCCCTGCACTCTCTCTCCCTAAAAAAAGAAAGACGAAAAAAAGAAAGAGAGAGAAAGAAAGAAGGAAATAGAAAAAAAGAAAGAAAAGAAAAAAAAGAAAATTTTATTCTTACTGTGATGCCTTGGTTTCTTAGTAAAATTATTCGATTCATCTAGGAGAACTTTTTGTCCTGGAATGAGGATAAGTGAGAACTTGAAAAATAGCATAATGCACTGTACCTTAGATTGTATTCTGTATCCTATAGATGAACTTATTTTCAAACTACTTTATTAAGGAAAAGAGCCACAGGCTTAGAATTACATTTTTCATTAATAATTCTAATCTAACTATGATCATTGGTGGATTCTGACTTACAGAGTTTTCACATTTAATAATCCAAAGAAACCTTGATATTTTAAAAGTATAAATGTTTCTGAAACTAAAACAAGTGTTTACAACTGCATTTTTGTAGTGTTTTTAGTGGTGTTATTTCCAAAACACTTAATTGACTTTTTTTCCTTATTAAGATAAAAGGAATGACAATGGTGCTCACCCATGAGTTTCTTTTTGTATTAAAAGCAAATGAGAACAAAAAAGAACAACAAAAAGGAATGATATGACTCATTCTAATAAAACAGATTTTTGGATGGAGAGAGGAATATTGAAAAATTTATGGAAAAGACAAAAATAACTCAATCTTATTATTTAGTGGTAACAACTACAAGGATTTTGATGTGATTCCTTACAGTCTTTTTCTCTCAGGATTTTAATATGCGATCATGTCATAATTTCCTGTTTCACCACTGTTGAACTATTAGGATGTTTCTAATTTTATTGTTTACTTATAAATAATATGTAATTAATTTCCCATTTATTTTTAGAGCAATATATGCTTAACCAATTTCAGTTTAAAAAATTTTATAATGTTATAAACTTTATACTACATATAGTATATGATTATAATATACTACAATAATATAATAATATAGTATTTTATATATTATATATTATAATTTTATAATATGTTATATGTATGATATTTATTTCTCTCTTTTTTCAACAGGAAACAGATGAAAAAGATAATACCAAAAGGGTAAGGTGATTTCCATAAATACATACACTAAAAAATAATAAATGAAACCAGTAACCATCTATAGTAAATCTAACTACCTTTTTTTTTAACAGTTCTTATTTCATTATTCGAAGACACGGAAATTGGGCAATTCAAATGTTGTGGTAAGGTGTAGAATTACTTCTTATTAGTAATCACTAGTATTTTTTTTAAATCTGTTTTTGCAGTTTAATAGAGCTAGGTCAGAATTCATGCTTTTTCCTTTAAAAGTTTATATGTGGATAAATAAATGGAATTCAATATTTATTATACATTTAGTTTATTTTATATCTTAATAACTACATGTACATTAAGTTTATTCATTCATTCAACAGTTATTTACTGGGTACCAAACATGTGCCAAGCACAAGTCTAGGTACTAGAAATACAGCAGTAAATGAAATAGAAAATTAAAAAAGAAATCCCTCCTGTTATGAAATTTACATTCTAGGTGCAAAAAAAAAGCACAAATGATTAAGTAAAACATATTGGTTTAGATATCAATTAGTACAAGGAAAAAACAGATTTAACCAAAATCATTTTAAGAATTATCTTAAAAGAAAGATGATTGCCAAAAATGTCATTAAATATAACTAGAAATATCCACTTCTATTCTTCAGCTCTCCTTATTTGTAATTAGGCTTTTAATGTGAGAATTTACTAAGATTAGCCAGATACCAGTAACATGAATTCAGTTCACTCCTAAATTGTGTGGTTTTAGTGGTAGTTTTTCTTTTTATATGCATGGATTTTTAAAAGGCTATTCTGGTGTTTCAATCTGGAATGCTTAGTAATTATTCAACTATAATATTCCTTCTATGCTTGTGACTCACTCCCATGGACCAATTTAGGGAATGAGGAGCATAGTGTATTTTAAATATACGTGTACCTATGAAAAGGTAACTAATATAAACTCAGTTTTAAATGTTTGTCATATTGAATATTCTTATGTATGAGGAGTTGAATGTTAGGATGAATTGGTTAACAAATAACCATCATATAGGACTTAAAGTAATCCATTTGATAAATTTGAATTTAATATTTGTGAGAAGGTTCAATTCAAGCCATGCCTTTAAAATGAAACTATCAGGTATCCACACGTCTCAAATGTACTTTCATTTTCTTCTGCTTGACATCTTTACATTTTGAGAAAATGTATCTTAGTCACATTTTTCGCTATCAATGACACATTTGTCACTTTTCGTGTCCCCTGTTGTCTTGTTCCATATGTTCAGTTTTAAATACAATATATATTTTGTGAAGGAGATTCCCAGATGTGTGTACCAGATAATCTTCCAGACAAACATTTTCATAGCAGAAAACTGATTCTCACGGAGTTGGTTTCATCTGTCCAAACCATTTTGCCTAAGTCTGGAAGCAGACAGCCTTTTGCCTCTCAGAGAGATGCAGGCGGTTGATTTACTTGCTGGCAGCTGATGATGGGGCTGAGGCCCTAAGGAAAGTGTTTCTTCAGCATAATGACAAGATCCTAGCATAGAGCTACCACATTTTTTTCAATCTCTTGGCTTATTCTCCATGTTCTTTGAAGTGCTCTCAAAGGGCTACATTACATAACATCTTTCTTGTTCTTTTTTGTCTGGAGCAAGTAGAGTGGGTAAAACCAAAACCAAAACCAAACAAATAGGAAACCGTCTTTATGCCCAATGCTGAGAAGATTTTGTGCTCATCACGTGTGTGTGTGTTCGTGTCTCTCAGTCGTCTGTCGTGCATCCGTTACTGCAGCTTGTTCCTCAACTGCATGAGAGAAGAATGAAGAGATTCAGACTGGACGTATGTAACACAAACTGCATGCTTGCTTTGCCACTCTTTGTGGGGCTGTTAATTCCCAGTTGTGGTGATGTAGAAGACACTCTTTTTCAGGATAAGCCTGACATAAACACCCTAAAGAAGAGCATCTGTTTGCAGAAGTGTTTTCACTCAGGAAGAAAAGAGAATCTCATTCCCCCTCCCCATATTACGTCCCCTCAGATCCAAGCTGAGGGCAATGAGGGAAGCTGAGGTTACATTCCCTTCCAAGGGCCATGACCCTCCCAGTGAGGAAACCTATTCTTGGCTTAAGGAAAGGACAGAGCAACGTGCCTAGTCCTTAGGTAGGAACAGGAGAAAAGATGAAGGACAGTTTACCGCCCCTCGGTGAACAGGTTGGCTGTTGGCTAGGATGGTAAGCTTTCTATGTTAGGAAGATGTTAGGAAGAGTAAGGCTTGTGAACTAAATAGATCAGAAACTAAACTCAGGCATTTTGGGTTTTTCACAATTAAACAGAAATATGGCCCAAATCCAGTATCTGTTTAAGAGGAATACAACTGGGTTTTAACAGGTTTTTAACTAGAGATTGTGGAGTTTTTATTGTCATTTAAAAAGAATTTTTAACTCTTTCATTGATGAAAGTTTCTAGGTATTATTTTTAAGTAATGCCTTACATTGTTGTAATGCTTTATAGTTTTAAGTCTTACATTACCTCAGTTTATTCTTTTGGCAGCTCTGTTAGTACTTATACAAGTATGGTTATCCCCAGGGGCACCTGGGTGGCTCAGCAGGTTAAGCGTCTGCCTTCAGCTCAGGTCATGATCCAAGGGTCCCGGGATGGAGCCCCGCATTGGGCTCCCTGCTCAGTGGGAAGCCTGCTTCTCCCTCTGCCTGCCGCTCCCCCTGCTTGTGCTCACTCTCTCTCTCTGTGTCAAATAAATAAATAAAATCTTCAAACAAACAAACAAGTATTGTTATCCTCAGTTTGCTAAAAGGGGAACAACTCAGAATAAAGGTGTTTTCCAAGACCATGCTGGTAAGTGAGGTTAGAGATTACAGCAGTTTTCTGACTTCTAGTCTAGGCAAATACTTTTTTCACTATGCTGTCTTTTTATTGTCTAATCTAGGATACTTCTATTATTTCTTTAAAAGATTTTAAGTGATCTCTACACACAATGGGGCTTACAACCCCGAAATCAAGAGTGGCACACTCCACCGACTGAGCCAGCCAGGCTTCTCTTATTTTATTGTTAGATTTTCCCTTAATTTAAGTACCATGTTAATTTTATTCTTAAAATACTACCAATGGTCTTCAAGTACTTTTAAAAAATGCATACAGTTTAGGCAAATAAATTCCTCAAAATTTATTTTTATGGTCACTATTTCCTTACTAAATTCTTCACATTCTTAAACTAAGCTTCCATCAAGGAAGACAAAATCTGCTGCCAACTTGAATAAGAAATGTAAGAGGAATTGTAATAGCCTCTTAAAATTTTAGGATTTTCAGTATGAAAAAATGAATAAAATTCGTTGTCAAGAAACATCCTAGAAGTAATATATGCTTTTTGGAATTAACTTTTACTTTCCGAAGATTTTGCTTGACTGATGAAAAGTGTAAGATTTCAATTTAAAGATCCAGTTTCTTAAAATACACCAACAAATTATTAGTTTACTATATCACTCCAGTGTCATTGTTTACTAGAGCTAAACACTCAGTATTGTGGCCTGTTTGGGTCTTTGAATGTTCCACTTTGAGTGAGACTATATTTCCAGAAAACTAGGAATATATAACCTCTGACTTAGCAGTCTATCCTGTTGGACAAACAACTCCTAAAAGTATTTTGCAACAAGCCAAGTTTCATAGGAACTGATGAAGGAAAAGAATGTAAGACACAAATAGAAAAAAATTACAGTAGAGTGTTAGCTTTGCTGGGCCTAAGTCACCTAATTTTAAAACAGATTTTTGATAGTGAAATGTTTTGTGTTCTTAAAGAAAATGAGTTTTCAGATCTTAGTGCATTCAGACACTTTTCTTAAACATTTTTTGTTAGACATCCTCACTTCCATCCCCACAGCTTTTTTATTTCTACTTCCCAAATTCTTTCTCCAATAAGAAGACTAAAAAGACCTGTATGTTTGGGCTTGAAAGTTTTAAAATTGGACACTATTTCAGTTATATTTTTCCCTGCCTTTTTTTCCTGTTTAAAATAACATATATAACTTTTCTTATATAAGCATATAAATATATAGTTTCTAAGTGTACATTTTAAAATATTACGTAATTTGGGGAGTATATAGTCAGGATGAGAATTAGGTACAAAATATTGAGAATTTAAGATATATTACTTGTAAAGCAAGGATTTTGAAGGTTTTTTTTTAAGTTTATTTATTTAGGTAATCTCTACACCTAATGTGGGGCTCGAACTCATGACCCTGAGATCAAGTCACATGCTGTTCCAACTGAGCCAACCAGGCACCCCAAATTAATATGGAATTTCAGAATTTTATAGATGTCAGAGCCATTTCTTAGAATTTAAAAATTTTATTATACTTACATTATGGAATAATTTCAAAAGGCTTTGATGACAAATTTCATAATGATTGCCATCCTGATTTTTTTTTTTTAAGATGTATTTATTTATTTATTTATTTGATGGAGAGAGACACAGCGAGAGAGGAAACACAGGCAGGGGGAGTGGGAGAGGCAGAAGCAGGCTTCCCACTGAGCAGGGAGCCCCATGCGGGGCTGGATCCCAGGACCCTGGGATCATGACCCGAGCCAAAGGCAGACGCTTAACGACTGAGTCACCCAGGCGCCCCGCCAACCTGATACTTTTATAAGAAGTAGTTGTTGAAAATAAGAAACTATAAGAACCTATTTTGTGGAAACCATAAAACGTTAAATCTTTCCATTGTTTAAAATGAAATGTTTTAAGAAAAGAACCACTTCAAAATATACCCATTATGAGAAATTGGTTTGTTCTTATTTGGTATATTTTTCATTATCATTTCTGTGAATATGGAGAATATTGGGAAAATCTACTCAAATCTCCCTGAATGTAGTTTACCAAAGTTGTCCCTCAATTTCAATTTCAATTCCTATAGAAATATAGGAAGTGTTTTAGATGTGTTTTAGCTCTGGCATGATTCTATTTTATATTTTTCCCTGTTCATGTGGTAGCACATACAATATGTATCTTAAGGAAACTATTTCATTGTAACAAAATGCTGAGAGGAGATTTTAAATAAGCTAATTATCTATGAACTGTCATTTCTCATTCTACTTATTGATGAATAGACATACAACTGACAAACTTCCTAGAAGCTGTTATGTTGATAAGGAAATTATTTTATTATTTTATTTAAAAAAAATTTTTTAAGTTAACTCTACCCCCAACATGGGGCTCGAACTCATGACCCTGAGATCAAGAGTTGCCTGCTCTACCGGCTGAGTCAGCCAGCTGCCCCTAGGAAATTATTTTAAAATGCAACATTCTGGTGATATTGCTAGGTGAAAATTCCTCAGGTATACATTCAAAGATTCCTTATTGATAGGAATTATATACTCAAGTCCTTGATTCCCTCCTTTTAAACTATGGTAGATGAAAGTAACTTGGAGTTTCACTAAGAATGCAATAACAATTTGCACTTATTTTTACTGTTTGTTGATGTGTAATGCCCTCATTTTCTCTTCCAGGAAGAATTCCAAGGTCCTATCCAAATTCGAAGACAGTTTTTGTTCAGGGTATGCAAATACCGTATTTAAAAAAAAATCACTCAACATTAAAATTGAAAAAATACACTGTGCATTTATTTACATTAAGTTTTTAAGTTTGTGTATAGATATTTGAAATCAGGTGTTCTAGTCTGAGATTCACTTCTTCCCCCACTGTATTGTTTTAATATTATGGTATCTCTGATCTTTTCTTTAATCCACTAATGTTTGTAAATACCCCAAGTGACATTCACCTATTAAACAGTTTAGTTCTATAAAATTTCATGTGTAGGAAATGAGTGTCTTAAAGATGCATTACTCCTTAAGTTCCAAAGAATCATTTACTAAATATTTGATTCAGGAGACTGGAAGAGTTATGACTATTTTCATAAGTTTTTAAAAGTAAAAGAATCAACTATACTGGAGGTTGTAAGTAGACAAAACTTTGTAATTGCATTTAGTATTTTGTTTGTCCAAATTGTGTACAAAATATAGTTTCTTTCTAAGGAGCTTTACTTTCTAAAATGTTTGTATCCTTACTATATTACCAGAGATTTTTTATTCATTCATTTAGCAAGTTTTTTGAATTTCTACTGGGTGCTAGGCAATGTTGCAAAGACTAGAAGCATACAGATAGATAGGATTCCATTCTTATGCTCTAAGAGTTTACAGTCTAATAGAGAAAATTGATAAATAAACAAATACAAAATACTATGTTAAATGCACCTTCATTCCAGGGGCTGAGGTTTCTAAAAGAAAGGTATTTAACCCAGGCCAGAGAGTGGAGGAGTACAGAGAAGGCTTTAAGGGCTGAATTTGAAGAATCAACAGGAATTAGCCAGTGAAATAGTTAACTAAGGAATTTCAACTTTATTGTTAGGCTAAGAAGAGCCATATGGTAAGATTTGCATTTTGGAAACGAATTCTAACAACAAATTGGAGAATGGATGGAAGGAAGAACAAAACTAGATAAAAGAAGAAATAATAACACCCATCAAAATCATTAGGTTGCTTTGTATGAAAGTTAACTTCACTCCTTAGTTACACTGATTTATTTCTTATTTATTATTTTTCTAGCCACGCAATGGAAGAAGTTCAGAAGGTTACATTTAAAATGGTATGCACTTCCCAATTCAACCCAGGTTGGAAATTTCTGTCATTTTCAGATATTCACAAATTAAACTATGTCTGTATATTTCTATTACTTGATTGCATGTGTACATTAATATTCTATATACATACTACTGTTATAGGGGCAATGGGGGCTTTATATGATGGAAAATGTCAGTATTTTAGGGCCAGATTTGCTTTGTCCATGTTCCTCGGACTATGCCACAATAGTCCTCACTGGTTTTGTAAACATTGACCTTATCATCATTTGTCGTGCAAGTAATATGTCAGGGATTGTGTTCTTAATCAGTGTCCACAATAATGGGCCAGAACTTACAGATTGAATGCATTTCTGCCTTCCAAGTGACCTGTATTCAAAGATTCTTTATAAAAGCTGTGATTTACCACTTCTAGAGAACTAAGAAAATGTGGAAAGACATAAGAACATGACTTCTACTTTAGGACTCACAGAGTTTCCACATCAAGTCTGGAGTATAGTAGATATATGGGTGGCCCTACATATTTAATAAATATGTTAATCCTAATATCTTATTAGCCTGTGAATTTTGAAATTAAACCCAAATGCAGATTGATAAATTTATACCACACAAATAAAAGAATATTCTATTAACTTCATGTAATCTTAAATGCAGATTCTATGCTTAACATATTTTTGCAAATATTTTTTTCATATCACTATCTCAACCTTTAAATACATAGTTAGCTTAAGAATGTTAAAATTCTTAGTATTTTCTCATAGAAACAAAAATAAAAATGCACTATTTCTAACTAATGAAGGTAATACCAAAAATTATACAATATCCAGAAAATAAAGAGATAATAAAAACATTGCATGTTAAAACTTATGGGACTCTGCCAAAGCCATATTCAGTAGAAAATTCAAGGCTTTAAATGCTATCAAGCAAGAAAGATGAGTGAATTAAGGGGATGTAGTTCAAAAAGTTAAAAAAGAACAAGGTGAACCTCAGGACAGCAAAAGGAAGAAAATTATAAAATGAAAAATGGAATTAATACATTATAAAATAGTAAAATAGAAGAACTGGTAAAGCAAAATCCAATTATTTGCAAAAAATAAAATAAAATAAACTAACCTAATTAGCCTACCTTGATCAAGAAAAAAGAGAAACCATAAATATACAAACATATAAATGAAAGTAAGGAAATTAAAACAGATATAGAAGAAATGGAAATCATAAAACAGTACTTTGCAAATCTCTGTGCCTATCAGTTTGAAAACCTGAATAAAATGGAAGATTGTCTAGTAAAGTAGGTACTTCCAAAATTGATGTCAGAAGAAAGAAAAAAAAAAAACCCTCTGAACAGACTAATGACCATGGAAAAAAATTGAAAACATTATCTAGGAACTCCCCCCTTAAAAGTAGTAGACCAATAGATTTTGAATTTTTGTAGCTCAGACACAGAAGAAAATCTCAAAATATTTTTTATGCAGCCAGCAATACTAATACCAAAACCTTATAAAAGTAGTATAAAAAAGGAAACTGTAAGTAATCCTATTTATAAATATCAATGCAAAATGTTAAAGAAATATTAGTAAATTGTATTCAGCAGTATATTTTTAAAATCATATAACTCCATAGAAATGAAGTTTGTTCTAACAACTCAGGATGGTTAAACATTAGGAGATCTGTTAAAATATTTTCACTATTAGAAGAAAAATTATTTAATCATCTCAAAATTCCACATCAATGTCTGCTGTTTTAAAAGAACATCTTATAGAAAGAGATGAATCTTTATTAACATGATTTATATAATGGTCTCAAAGTCAGTAGCAGTCTTCATAGTAAAACACTTTGGAGAATTTCTGTTGTCAGGAACAAAACAAAAATAATCTGTCACCTTTTATTTAATGCAGTTCTTATACATTAGCCAACTCAGATAAGACAGAAATAAAAGAGACAAATATATTGAAAAAGTGAAGAAAAAATTTAATGTGTTCATGGGACATAATTAGGAACTTAAATTTTCAGACTATATTTGGCATTAATTCCTGTTTCAGCAAAGGCCTGTTCACATCAGAAATAGGAGCAAATATATTCTTAATTTTTTCCTTTATTTATTTATTTATTTATTTCAAAATTTTTTCCCTTTTTTTAAGGCACTAAGAACAAAAGGATAATGGAAAAGAAGCTATCTTTTATAATATTACAAAGTAGAGACATTTATAAAATGTGAAACCAAAAAATAGTTTAATACTAAATGGAAAAAATGTCTGTGCTCATAACACCAAACCAAGTGGTAGAGTGCTCACAAACGTGAAATAGAATTTAATCCGCGATTTGGTTAATTGAGTAAAAACTTCTCTTTGAGGAAAATAGCTTTATTTGGATTTTTTTCAAGATTAAGGCTTACACGGACTAGCTCACTTAAGATTTCATTTTATTTTGTCAGTAGCGGAACAGTTCAATAATCATTTTTTCTTTGTTTTTCTCATCTGATTATCTGAGGTCTTGCTCTGTCCTGAGGATTTATATTTACTTAGAAAATGGTTAGACATAAAATAGGATGATTTAATTGCACAAAAGGAAAGAAATACGTGAGGAGTAACTGCAACTTTTGAAATACTTTATTCATAAATCTTTTTTTTTTTGAGAGAGAGAGAGATAATGATAGAGAGCATGAGAGGGGGGAGAGTCAGAGGGAGAAGCAGACTCCCTGCTGAGCAGGGAGCCCGATGCGGGACTCGATCCCGGGACTCCAGGATCACGACCTGAGCTGAAGGCAGTCGCTTAAACAACTGAGCCACCCAGGCGCCCTTTATTCATAACTCTTACTGGCATCAATGAACTTTAGGAAACCACTTTCTATAGTTAAATACTGTAAAATTTTGGAAAATACAGACATACAGAATAAGTGTTCTTTCAGAGAGAGATTAATAGCTAAAAATATACAGACTGAAGAATAGCTGAGAAATCTCTCTGATGTCAATTTTTTCATACATGAAGAAATTTTTATAGAAACATCTGTATACTAACATTACATACACACCTTCACATACTCACTTATACTTGACTCTAAATCTAATTTTTCTTTTTATACAGGATAACCAACTGTTTTCCACAGAAGTGGCACCAGGAAATGCAAAATGTTAACATTTTTTTTTTCTTCTCAGAAACAATCCTTGTTAAACTTATCATGTTTGAGAATCCCTGTGTTGTAAACATTCTCAATAAAAGTTGGTTGAGATTATGTTTAATTTGTTGACAATTTTTTTTTAAAGGTTTTATTTATTTGACAGAGAGAGAGACACAGCAAGAGAGGGAACACAAGCAGGGGGAGTGGGAGGGGGAGAAGCAGGCTTCCCGCCAAGCAGGGAGCCTGATGTGGGGCTCGATCCCAGGACCCCGGGATCATGACCCGAGCTGAAGGCAGATGCTTAATGACTGAGCCACCCAGGCGCCCCAATTTGTTGACAATTTTAAAAGCATCTTAAAATATTTTTTTCTTATGTAATAAAGCTCTAAATAATGATGTTCCTTAGATCCATGCAGCTTTTGACAGTACAGTTGACCCTTGAACAACACAGGTTTGAACTGCAAGATCCACCTATACATGGACTTTTTTCAAAAAATACAGTACAGTACAGTAAGTGTATTTCCTCTTATTTTTAAAAATAATTTATTTATTTTGAGAGAGAGAGAGTGTGTGCACACAAATGGGGGGCGGAAGGGGGAGGGAGAGAGAGTATCTCAAACAGACTCCCTGCTGAGTGGGGAGCCCAACTTGGGGCTCAATTCCACAACCCTGAGATCATGACCTAAGCCGAAATCAAGAGTCAAAGGAACACTCAACTGACGGAGCCACCCAGGTGCCCCTATTTCCTCTTACTATTTTGTTAATAACATTTTCTTTTCTCTAGCTTACTTTATTGTAAGAATACAGCATATAATATATATACAAAATATGTGCTCATTGACTATGTTATTCGTAAGGTTTCTGGTCAACAGTAGGCTATTAGCAGTTAAGTCTGGGAGATTTTGACTGTGCAGGGGGTCCTCCTAACCCCTGTGTGGTTCAGGGTCAACTGTACTGACACACATGCTCTTTTTTTATTTTTATTAAAGGCACTCAGAAGAGAGTTGAGTTTTAATGAGCTATTTTAGTTCATCCTATTTGGATTTCATCAGTGACAAAATCACCAGCTCTTATAAATCCCATAGAGTCCAGGAGCTAACTATCTTAGAATGTGACTACCAACTAAAACTACACTAGTTGGAGAATTTGGCCATTATCCATCAAAATAGTCCAGTAAGCAAGTTCTGATTTATCTACCGAGAGATGTCTGATTGCTACAAAAATATCAGGGTTTAGCTTTTTCTACCACCTAATAGTGTTCAATTTATCTTTAAAAAAAGTCACTTTACCCTGCAATATCTGAAAGGCAACCAGTCTTGTCCATTGCCAGAAAGAAAATCTCACTAGTAGAGGATCATGAACACACTTGGAAAACTTTTGACATCAAAATCAGTGTTTATTGGACACAGAATTAACCTCAGATGGATGCTGAGATTATCCCTGGATTTTTCCCTTCTGACTCCCCTCTTGGATAACCTCCTCCACCACCAAGCAGGCTGGCTGATTAGGGGAGGTTGGCTCTAGAGTGGGTAGGATTGTCTTAACTTCTTCAGGGTAGAGACCCTCACAAAGCTTTATCTTCTAATGCCGACCAATAATTACAGCTTAAGGGGCGCCTGGGTGGCTCAGTCGTTAAGTGTCTGCCTTCGGCTCAGGTCATGATCCCCGGGTCCTGGGATTGAGTCCCACATCGGGGTCCCTGCTTGGCGGGAAGCCTGCTTCTCCCTCTCCCATTCTCCCTGCTTGTGTTCCCTCTCTCGCCGTCTCTCTCTGTGTCAAATAAATAAATAAAATCTTCAAAAAATAAAAAAAATAAAAAAATAATTACAGCTTAAATTATGCCTTTTACTAACAAAGTCCCTGAATTTCACTTCTTGTCAACCCATGCAAAGAATGTAAGGAAGAAGACAAAAAATTTTAAAAATGAATTGCTTTGAAAGATGGGGACTTGAGAGGCTCGAGGGCCTCCTGCTCTAAAGCCACAAATATATAGGGCAACATTAGTTAGTGCTACACACAGTGGTAATTCAACTAGCGTGGATTTTGGATTGTCAAAATAAAAGGGAATCAAATATTAATTTAAGCAGTTCCCAGGGCCTCTTAGAAATACAGAGAGACTTAAATCATTTACATTTTTCAGGGCTCCCAGGATATTTAAAAAAAAAAAAAAAGGCAGAAAAAATACCAAAACATGGTTACAAAAATTGTGGGATGCTTTAAAATATTTTATATTTAACAAATTAATATTTTATATACAAACACAACAAAATATATAGGCTCCCAGGAGTACAGGATTTGTATTAAATATTAACTGGGCACTACACATGAAGTGGTCCAATACTGAACCCAAGTTTAAAATTGCGTCACTAAAAACATTTTTTTCTTCTTTTCCAAATCCTATCAGTAGACTTCTGTGACCATGTATATAACCTTATTTGGTGATAACATCAAATGTTTTCCTCCCATTCCTGGCAGCTCCCAGCAAACATACTTTACTTAACCTAACCGCCAAGGAACCCGACTGTCTAGGTTTCCTACCTAAAGCCAGAGTTCCTGTCTTCTAAGGCAGTGAGTGGGTTTTTAATATGGGGGTGGAAAGCCATTGAGCATCTGATGAAAGTTCTGGTCCTAAACCCCCAGTTCCTACGCCCTCCCCCAACCAACAAATGTACACATACAACAAAATTATGTACAATTGGGGGCTGTGGGCTAGGGATCCCTTAAAATCCATCCAAATATAGGCTATGGGCTCCGGGTTAGGAAGCCCTCCTCTGGAGCGTTCTCTCCCCAGGATTTTGTTATTTCTCCATGAAGATAGGACTCCGGGGTTGAAGGGTGCCAGAGGCTCTGAAACAACTTGATTCGGTGGTGGTGGAAGGAAGGGTGGGAAGAACACGAGCACCAGTACTAGACTGCAAACAGGTGAGGCACCGCTTAGGCTAGATGGCCCGGACCTGGTGCATCTGTACCCACAGCAACCCCGCCAGGCTGCGCCTCCACGTTGCCTGGCAACAAAGCTGCACCCGCTGGCGCGCATGCGTAGGAGGCCCTTGCTCTCCCCTCCCCCTCCCCTTGGGCGGTGGCAACCGCTAGGCCTGGCTGGCTCCCACCTGGAAGGAGACTTCGGTGTGAGTCAGGAGTCCTTCGCCAGGGGCAGGACGACGCCGGCACGCGAGGGGCGAAGGGGAACACCATGCAGGTGGGCACCCAGGGGAGTCCCCGTCTGGGCCTACAGTGAGCACCAAGGTGGGGGGCGGCCCGCAATGGGTGGCTTCTAACATTTGTCCTGGTACGAGCTAAATTTTGCGTGCGTCTTTGTCGAGGTTTGAGGGGAGTCCGGATTGACTCCAGGAGAACACCATTTTTCAACATTCGAGACTTCGGTTTGTCACTGGGGGGAAGCATTCAGAGTGTTTGAGGATTGTGTTTCACACCTGTGTCCTTGGAGCTGGACTGCTGCACTATTTCTGACTTGAGAAACAGACCAGCAACTTTAGCCCCAGTGTAATTCAATTTAAATATTCTGCTCCCTTACCTTAAAAAAAAAAGATCAGAGCGGAAACCCAGTAGTTGCATTGTCTTGAGAGAGACCAACTGTCCTGGAGTTCTCCTACCTGACTGCAAAAGCTCTCTTAGACTTCCATTTATTCCTTAGGAGGAGGCTCCTCTGTCTAAAGCTTCCTTATTAACCAGAAAAGCCTGTGCCTTTGTTTCTTCTTTTGTCAGAGTAAAATTCTCTTTCTGACTTTCAGAAACAGCTTCTTCTCACCTGCTCCCCCAAATTAAAACCACTGTGATTTTTCTTGTTTTACATATTTACTTTTTATTTGCATATACTGTATAATTTACTAGAATATTTTGAACATAAATTACATATAATTTTTAATGGATAGTCCTTTTGTGTTAATAATAGATTCCTAGCAAGTACATTTTATCCAGTCTGTGAAAACGTTGCAAATTTGTCTGGATTTATACCTGCTCTTCAAGAAATAGGCCAACATATAATTGAGAGTGAAGTTAACAGCACGTTAACCTTTGTTCATTTATTCATTGATTTATTCAACAGCCAGTTATTCAGTGTTTATGTTTAGTTATGGACTTATCCTAAAAGAGTTTACTATGAGGGAATATAAGGGAGACAGATGTTAACTATTTGTAGTATGATAAAAGCCATAATAGTTTTAAATAGATTGTGGTACCTATTTTTTTTTAAAGATTTTATTTGTTTATTTGAGAGAGAGAGGGAGAGAGCACAAGCAGGGGGAGCAGCAGAGGCAGAGGGAGAAGCAGGCTCCCCGCTGAGCAGAGAGCCCGATGCAAGGCTCCATCCCAGGATTCTGGATCGTGACCTGAGCCAAAGGCAGACGCTTTAACCGACTGAGCCACCCAGGCGCCCTGGTACTTATTTCTATCTGATAAAATTTCATAGATAATTTCTAAAAGTGAAGGAAAAAATAAACTATAGAGCCTTTACTGTTAAATTCCATTGCAATGAACTCCTAGATCAGTTAAGGAAGAGCCGAGAAGGTATAAAACCATAAGAATGTGGCATCAAGAATATCAAAAAAGACCATTTTAACAAGAAAGGAATGGCAAAGTCTCTCCAGTTCTGCTTAAGAGATCAAATACAACGAATATCCATTGACATGAACAACACGGAGCTTGTAGGTGACATTAGCTAGAGCACTTTTGAAAGTATTGGGAGCAAACTTTGGAGTGGGTCGAAGAGTTAATGGGAGGTGGGAGTGGTTACAGCTTATGTAGACAATTGTTTCAAGAAGTTTAACCATGAAGGAGAAAACAGAAGATGGTAGGGGATGTCAAGTGCAGAGGGAGTTTTTTAAAAAGGTAGTGCTGGAATTTTTGATGCTAGTGAGCTACTCCTGCTGCATACAAGTAAAAATGCTGGCTAACATGTAAAACATAATTTCTTTAAAAGCATCAAAGGGATGACATGATAGTAAGAAACTATGAGACCAAAACTGAAGGGAAATTGGAAAATGAGGTAAATGGATTTCCACAGTTCCAAAGCCACTTTTACACTGAAGGCATTAGCAGTCTGTGTTTTGATCCTGGGTATAGTCACAGGGTGAGAAGGAATCAGAGGGTTATGGTCCACCA